TTGCTAATTTACTGTCTTTGGCACTAGAATGGAATCTCCCTGGGCAAGGACCTCAGGTGTCTGCAGCACCATATCTCCAGTGCTTGGCACACAGTAGGGACACAAAAAATATCTGATGAGTAAATGACTATATAACATGAGCTCATTTATACTGAAAAAGACTAAAGTGTGTGTGTGAAAGTATATAAAGGACCTAAACTGATGTTACTAGTTGTTACTAGTTATCAAAGTTAACTATGGGGAGGATAATGAAAAATAAGGAAAAGAGGAATTTTCACATTTTGCTCTGCATATTTCTACATTATTTTTCTTTTCAAAAAAAACCCCAAAATTATATATGATACATGGCAGGAAGAAAGTTTTAAACATATTTGGAAATATAAATCCACTCATAGAATAAAATTTAGAAACTCAGAGTAACCTTAAGCATAATACTCCCCCCATAGGTAGGATAATCTATGATTACTAAGTAAGTATCTTCTAAAAGAACTAGAATTAGAAGAATAAAATTTCTTTAAAAAAATTTTTTTAATGTTTTTATTTATTTTTGAGACAGAGAGAGACAGAGCATGAGTAGGGGAGGGGCAGAGAGAGGGAGACACAAAATCCCAAGCAGGCTCCAGGCTCTGAGCTGTCAGCACAGAGCCCAACACGGGGCTTGAACTCATGGACCATAAGATCATGACCTGAGCTGAAGTCAGACGCTCAACCGACTGAGCCACCCAGGCACCCCAAGAATAAAATTTCTTATTAACTTTTCATAGCCCTTATAAAATTTTTTACTATCACTTAAACAAAATAAAATATACCAAATAAAAAGTATATCAGTAGCATGTTATGCATCAAATAGTAATGATGAGTTGTGTAGAACGAATTTCCACTTACCATCCCTTGCTGAGTGGAAACTTTTAAGGATCTTCCTTCTCTAGATATACATCCAAATAATCATATATTTACTTTGTTTTCTTTTAGAAAATAAAATATGCACTCTAAGAGACACCTTTTTCTCTATCAAGTTCTCCATCCAGATGTCTAGCGCCTTTTAATTCTCCTTTACAACTTTATTAAGGCATATTTTACATGTTACATAATTTATCCACTTCAAGTGTATAATTTCAGTGACTTTCAGTAAATTTACCAACTTGTGGAACACACCATAATCAGTTGTAAAAATCTTCACCACTGCAATTAAATCACACAGGCCCAATTATTCTTACTCCCCATTCCCATCCCCTCCTCCAACAAACCATTAATCTACTCTCTGTCTCCATATATTTGCCTATCCTGGACATTTTCTGTAAATGGAATCATACAATGATGTGCATCCATTGTATCTGGCTCTTCCCACTTAGCATCTTTCTGAGGTTCATCCAACTGGTAGCACGTTCCATTTTATTGCTGAATATTAGTCTACTGTACGGATATGCCATACTTGTGCCATTTGATTTTATGACTTGAATTTGCATTTTCCAGGTTGTACAATGGATGCCAGATAACTTGGGTACTTGCAGATGGGTGGAGGGAGCTTTATATGTCATTTATTTAACCCAAAAGACATAGGTGAGCGTTTTTCAAGCCCAATCCAGTTTATATAGGGTGAGACTGCCCTAGCTTCACTTAAAAACATTCTGCCATCAATCCCTTTTAAAACCGCTTTTCTGTCCATCCTTCCTAATAAGAATAAAAGCATAGTTCCCCAAGGTTTCCTTCTCTCTCCCAAAGCTTATTAAAAACCTCAGCTCGGGGAGCCTGGGTGGCGCAGCCGGTTAAGCGTCCGACTTCAGCCAGGTCACGATCTCGCGGTCCGGGAGTTCGAGCCCCGCGTCGGGCTCTGGGCTGATGGCTCAGAGCCTGGAGCCTGTTTCCGATTCTGTGTCTCCCTCTCTCTCTGCCCCTCCCCCGTTCATGCTCTGTCTCTCTCTGTCCCAAAAATAAATAAACGTTGAAAAAAAAAAAAAAAAAACCTCAGCTCTTACTATGCATTGTTTAACCTTCTTTTTCTACCTCCAATCCTTGTTTTCTTTTTATCTTCAAGCTGATAGGTTTAAATTTTCCATATTCCTTGTAAAAAAAAAGTATATCAGAATTAAGTATCTACAGATTCTGGAATTTATTTAAAAAGAATCTGTGGTTCTTTTGATGTGGTCGCTAAAAATAATTTCTTCTTAAGTAGAAAAAAACTGTGTAAGTGATTTAAAAACAGAAACCAAAGTGGCAATCCCTATCAAAATAATACCAGCATTCTTCACAGAGCTAGAACAAACAATCCTAAAATTTGTATGGAATCAGAAAAGACCCCAAATAGCCAAAGCAATCTTGAAAAAGAAAACCAAAGCTGGAGGCATCACAATCCCGGACTTCAAGCTGTATTACAAAGCTATAATCAGCAAGACAGTATGATACTGGCACAAAAACAGACACTCAGATCAATGCAACAGAATAGAGAACCCAGAAATGGACCCACAAACATATGGCCAACTAATCTTTGACAAAGAAGGAAAGAATATCCAGTGGAATAAAGACTGTCTCTGCAGCAAGAGGTGCTGGGAAAACTGGACAACGACATGCAGAAGAATTAACCTGGACCACTTGCTTACACCATACACAAAAATAAACTCAAAATGGATGAAAGACCTAAATGTAAGACAGGAAGCCATCAAAATCCTAGACAAGAAAGCAGGCAAAAACCTCTTTGACTTCAGCCACAGCAACTTCTTACTCAACACGTCTCTGAAGGCAAGGGAAATAAAAGCAAAAATGAACTATTGCGACCTCATCAAAATAAAAAGCTTCTGCACAGCGAAGGAAACAATCGGCAAAACTAAAAGGAAACCAATGCAATGGGAGAAGTTATTTGCAAATGACATATCAGATAAAGGGTTAGAATCCAAAATCTATAAAGAACTTCTCAAACTGAATGCCCAAAAAACAAATAATCCCGTGAAGAAATGGGCAAAAGACATAGACACTTCTCCAAAGAAGACATCCAGATGGCCAACCGACACATGAAAAAATGCTCAACATCACTCATCATCAGGGAAATACAAATCAAAACCACAATGAGATACCACCTCACACCTGTCAGAATGGCTAACATTAACAACTCAGGCAACAACAGATGTTGGCGAGGATGCGGAGAAAGAGGATCTCTTTTGCATTGTTGGTGGGAATGCAAGCGGGTGCAGCCACTCTGGAAAACAGTATGGAGGTTCCTCAAAAAATTAAAAATAGAACTATCCTACGACCCA